CATCCCGAAAATCGGGTGGCCGTCCGCAGGACGAGCGGCAGGACGAAGTGGGGCACATGGGTGACAAGGGTGACATGGGGGACAGGACGCGGGCGTCGACAATTTCATGCATAAATTCATCGTGTGTGTTGGGCTTTATGGTTGACTGAGATTCGAGTGAGATACTTCCTTCCGTTATGTTGTTTGTTTACTGGCAGGACACTCGCTGTCCACTGATGACTTTCATCATCTAAAACAATTAAGTTTCGTAGCGAAAAAATCTGGGAACCTGGCTGGCCGAGCGAATCGGTAAGCGGCCAAAACAATTTACATACTCGACATAACTTGGCTTAAATGAGTTTTGCAACAAATTCCGACAGCACAAAAAGGGGAAAAACACACACACACAGAAACAGGAGGAGGAGGAGGAGGAGGAGCAACAGCAGCTAATCCCTTATGGGCATTCTGTCCCCGCACTGCAACAAGGACCTGCCCAGACCCGCCTCCTCCTCCTGCTGCTGCCACTCAGTCACTCAGCCAGCGAGTCATGCAAATTTCAAGCGGCTGGCGGAGGAAAAAAGGCGATGCATAAAAAATTGTAAATACATTTCCTGTCGTCTAGTCGCACAAAGCACGGGCACGACCAGGAGGACGAGGAGGAGGAGCAGCAGCAGGAGCGGAGCAGCCAGGACGACGACAAGTGCGACAAGTGTGTGCCACATAAAAATGCACAAAATTGGATGCCCGACAAGATTCCAGCAGGCACCAGTCGCCTATCCCAGGCTCACTGATAGTGGACGTCCCTCAACCGCCTGCACATCCTCGCCCACATCCGCATCCGCATCCTTATCCGCCTCCGCCCGGCAAACAGGCAAAAAACTTTGCTGCCGAATTTAATCCAATAATAAATGGAATATTGCTGACCTCGGGCATTAAATTAAATGTTGTTATCAGTGGAGTGCAGTGAAATTATCAGTGGGCTTGCGGAGAGCCAAGCCAGCGTGCCAGTGGTTGTCGGGGTCACCAGCCAGGACATGGGCAGTGTGCGAGTGAGTTATATGCGCCGAAACTGGATGCCAAATGCCAAGGCAGGCAAAAAAGCCACCCGGGAGGCGGGGGTGGAGGAGGAGCCGGTGTGAGCCTGGCCAGCAGCAGCAGGAGCAGGAGCAGGACGTGGAGGAGCGCCACTCCGCCTCTTTGCGTGCGTGCGGCTCTTTTTGGCTCTGTTTGGCCGGATATTAAGCTCGTTTGCATATAATTTGCGTGCCACAGACCGCAGCACAAACACAAACTGGATCTGAATCTGAATCAGAATCGGAATCTGGAACCGAATCCGCATCCGCATCCGAGTGCCGGCCAGTCTGCTCCTGATGGTTTTTTGGCCTCGCCGCGATAAGAATGCAGCCGAGTGGAGCTGGGACACATTAAGAAGTCCAGCCGGAACGGAGTAAAGCAATTAAGTTTGCGGTCCAGGCCATCGGCAGTGGAGTAATCCTTTCTGCATTTGGTTGGTGCTGCGAGAACTGACACTTTCTGTGGCATATTTATGGACGGTAATGAGAGATGGATCCACTGCCGCTGGCCTGCGATGTGGCTAAATATACATATGAGGATAAAGCAACTGCTCCCAGCTCCCAGCTCCCAACTCCAAGCCAAGTGCCACCTCATCTCGGCTGGCAATCAGCCAAAGTCTTGAGCACTTTCGCATAAGTTAAGCTCATACATATGCCCGCCTCTTAATCCTTTCTGCGCCGGGGATGCTTTGTCTTGGCCGGAAGATGCCTGCTGGGGAGGCGTTGATTATAATTGACTTTGGCTGACTTAAGTGCCAAAATGGAAATACCGTGTAGCCTTTGACGGCGGGGGTGTGGGCAGTCCACATACGCGCAAGTAATCCGCATCTTCGAAATGGAGAAGGGGATCCATGGCTATGGTTACCATTTCCATTTTTCATTTTCCATTTTCCGTTTTCCTTTTCGCAATTTTTCCGCTCTCCCGCTTTCACTTAAAGCCAATGAAAATGAAAAGACCGACGGGACATACCTGAAATCAAATCAAATGATGTGCAACAATTTTAATATAATCAGAATGCGAATGGGCCATTCCAAGACGTTGTCCTGGCCACTGGTCAGTCTGCTTGGGCCATTGTCATGGGGGCAGCAAATTATGTTGAGTGTTCGCCTGCCCCGCTCCTTGGAATCCAATGTACAAAGTTGCGAGTCCGGGATTCGGGATCCGGCTCAAAAAAGCGGAATGCCTGCGAATGTCTTGTATCGAACGAGTTTGCCATGGAAACCCCGACCTCGGGACACAGGATACGAGGAGCACACAGGACATGCAGGGAGTAAGGGTTGCGGGGCAATGATTTGTGTGCGTGAGTCGCAAACAAAAAGCCATTAGAAACTTCCAGCTTCCTGGCAAAGTTTCGCCACCTGATGCAGGGTATCTCTGGGGTGGCCACAGCGCTTCACGCGACGACGGCGCCGTTCTAGAGGGTAGAGGGTATGCCAGCTTCGACTACCAACTGCCGACTGTCGCGCAATCCCAATTTCTTTTCGCACCTCGAAGGAAAAGTGCGCGCAACTGACATTAAAAAGTTGCAATCTCCTGACGTGCGCCAAAACCCACATCCCGGCGATCCTCATCAGAATTATCATTACCATCACCATCACCATCATCATCACCATCACCATCATCATCATGGCAACCGGTTTGAGGAGGAGCGCCATCGGAATGATTAAAAAACTTTCGGGTGCCAAAATCTGCATTTAAAATATCATTCGGGGTCAACGGCTCCGCCGCCGACGTCTCTGGCCTGCGGCACTGTAGCCTCCGCAGTCTCCGGGTCATAATTGATCCCCAGCGTCTCGTTTTCCACTGGCACAACACACACCACACACACCACACACGCGCCTCGCAGAAAAATCAAATTGAAGTCTATAACAAGCGAGTGACCGCCTCATAAAGCAATTAAGTGCATGTGGCTGACCAAGCAGCAACGTGTTGGAGTATCCCCAGCATCGCCGGCCAGGATAACTGACCCTCTGCGAGGACCGAGGAGGAGGAGGAGGAGTGCGAGTCCTGGCTGGCATGCCAGGAGCCGTGAGAATGGAGCTGGAGGCGGTGGCGCTGCTGTTGATGCCGCACACCGCATCGGGATGTGGCTGCCCGTAGTGGACGCTCTTTGGGGCACTGGAAGCTATCCTGTTCTCGCTCCCGCATGAACCATGCAGCCGAGAAGGATGCGCAGGATGCGGCGCTCCCAAGTAATTCATAGCATTAATTATATTATATGACCCATGTAGAGTGCCGTGGAGCCAGTGGAGCGAGTGGAGCTGCTGCCCAGTGGGGATAAGTCCTGCCCATGGCCCAATTTGACTCCCGCTTTCTAAATTGGCTCGTAACCGAGAGCGTGCGTTGATATCAATAGGTTTTAGGCTATTTAAACGAAATTAAACGCAGTACTAGTAGATCTCGATTAGCTGATCTGCGAGCTGAGCTCATTGCGGTCCAATTAAAATCACCTGGGATTCCCAGATCGACTGGCTTTATCAACTGAACTCTCCCCGTTGACGATTTTGCATAACAATTGCGCGTTCTTAATTTATGCGCAGTCCATGCTGCTCCTCCGCTCCTCTGCTCCTCCGGCAGCAGCAACAATGGCCATAACATTAATTGTTTATAAATAAATATGCACAAAGCGAGGGGCGTTTTGTGGGCCGTAGGCGCTAAACGCCGCGTTGCAGCTACACACACTTGTATATTGTTTCGTTTGTTTGGCCACGGGCAGATAAAAGTAATTAACGCCTATTCCGAATGGCCAGTGGAGGAGCAGGAGGATTTCGGGGACCGGCGAGTGTCGGCGGGCCATAATTATTATTGACTTATTGGCCACAATGGCATTTAAGAGTGGAGGCCAGCACGGCCGGCTCGGAATCGCGAAAGTATTTGCATAAAATTTGCATTGACAACGGTTGAAAGCAATTGAAACAATAATTTCGTCATTAATGTGCGACAATCCGATCACCTCCGCACCCGCCAGTAGTCCACCTGATTCCCCTGCTCCGCCTGCTCCGCCTGCTCCTCCGTGTGCGAATTGAAAACGTGCTTATCGCCGCGCATCAGCAACGGACGGAGTGGCCGCCAGCCGGACGGGATTGGCTCCGGGATTGGAATTGAAATCGGAGTTGGGCGAATGCATTTTTCTGCCATTACTCGCCCGCTGCAATTGTTTAACGCGTTTAATTACATTTGTTGGCCGGCACTTAATGTTTTTATAATTAATAGAATCAATATTGATACTGCCCCTCCGAGTGACCCGCTCCGTTCGCCTGCTCATCCTTCTCCTACTCCTCCGATGGCGATTCCCATTGCACCGCAGCTGTGGTTAATGGCAGATTAAAAATGTAGCCAATGCGGTTGAGATGCAGGCAAGCGTTAAACTGGTCTGGCCAAACTATGGGCGTTGGGCAAATAAAGCTGGAGCAGCACACTTTAACCTGGTTAACCCGCAACCGCAAGCGGCTCTTTAAATGTTAAATGTTTATTCGCCGCGACTTGCATTTAATTACATTCGCTTACACATGAGGAGGTCCGTAAGCATGCATGCGAAATGCACGGCAGCTCCTGCTCCTCCTGCTCCTCCTGCTCCTCCTGCTCCTCCTGCTCCTCCTGTTCATCCACATCAGAGCTGCTTCTCCATGAACGCGGGGATGCGGGACTCTGAATCCCGCCCAAGGACGCTTTAGAATGCAGGCGGCGTAAAAGATTAGCCCGATTAGTTCAAAGGGTTCACGGAGAGCCCACTTGAGAATTCCACGGCGTGAGCACGCTTCCTTTGGCTCCGGGGCATGGAGTCCCATGTCTAAGTCCGCGATGTGCCATTCGCACATCGTTATATGAATATGGAATGGCCGGCATTCGGGGGGTGGATTTGGGCATTTCAGTGCAAGACAACCGCAGTGTGTGTATTTTTTATTTAACAGCATAAAAGAAACATCAGGAATTTGAAAGCAGAAGGATTACTGCAGCAAGGAGGCGTAGGAGGGCTGGGCGTTCGTATCCTGCGCATTGTTGTTGTTCGGGTTGTTCTGGTTGATGTTGTTAAAGCTGGAAGTTCTATCCACCTGGACAGGAACTCCATTTTGGGGATTGGATCTGGGCGTGGCTGGCAAGGAAATCCTCGAATGCCGATTGCGTGGCGTATGGCCGCGTGACCCAGCCGCGTTGACTTCGAAACTCTGGCGAGGATCGGGAGCGATCCTGACGTGCTGCTGCGTCTCGGCGCTGCCATTGCATACGTTGATTCTGCCAGCTGGCACACTCTTGCTCATGTCCGGGTTGCTTCCACTCTGATGATAGATACTGACATTGTGCCGTGGACTCATGTGATTGGGCGGTGGTATGTTCATGGCCGTGCCCTGCTGCATGCCCATGCCCGGCTGCACCTGCAACGGCATCGGCAATCCGACGCCCATGCCCATGCCCATGCCCATGCCCCTGCCCATGTGGTTCATGTGGCCCACCTGGTTGATGTGGTTCATTGGGCCGCCGCGTATTTGTGGAGCCATCATGTTCGGGCCCATGTTGCCGTTGAAGGGCATTCCGTGGTGGGATGGATGGGTCTGGTGTGGCGGCTGATGTGCTGGATGGCCTGGATGTGCAGGATGCGCTGGATGTCCTGGATGCGCTGGATGTCCTGCATGTGTCGAATGCAGCGCATGGGTCATCTGTCCGTAAGGATTCTGGCTAAGAGCGCCACGACTGGGACTTGGACCGTTCACACGACCGCGACCATGACCGTACCCGCCACCGTTGACACTCTGCATCATGGGCGGCCCGGCGCTGTGGCTGAGGTTGCCCCCAACCTCGAACAGGATCGGTGCCATGGGCCGCTGCTGGCGCATTGGATACATCTGAGGTGGTGATGGTGGTGGTGGTGGTGGCGGTGGCGGCGGCGGCGGCGGCGGTGGTGGTGGTGGTTGTAGTGGGGGAGGTGGTCGCATGTAAATGCCACTGGGACCCGGCTGCTCCTGGCACATCATGGCCGCATTGAAGTTGCCATTGGCTCGCTGCTGTGGGCCGAACATCGGATTCCACTGGTTGCTGCCATAGTGATCCTGGGCAGTCGAGGGCACCTGGTACCTCGATGGGTCTCTATCGGAATGGCAAGGCATGGCTGCGGTTTCGGGCATGGGAGGTATCGGCGGCATTGGCGGCATCTGGGGCAACGGAGGCAGCAGCTGCTGATCGGACTGATCTCGTGGAGAGCGATGGGCTGGTAAATTGCTGGGAATCACATTGGGTGGCACCTGGGCGCAGGGCAGGTTGCCGCGCGGCGTTTGCGTCTGCGTTTGCACTATGGGAGCATCCGACATGACGTAGTTCATGAACTCGACCTCGCCGAAGATGAACCGCCGGGAATCGGAAGTGGATAGCGAGCTTGCCCGCTGCTGGACTGCGCCGTCGTTGCGCTGTGGTTCCGTGACCTCCACATCCTCATCCTCGTCCTCCTCATCGCCCTCGTCGTCGTCAGCCTCCTCTGCCTCCTCTTCAGCAACGTCCTCCTCGCATGCGTTCTCCTCCTCCACGTAGCTGCTCTCCTCGCTATCATGGCGCTCCATCTCGGCGCAGCGGAGTAGGCTGGAGTTATCGGTGTTGGATGACTCGGTGCCCGATGAGGACGATGGTATTTCCTGCCTATCCGCATTGTTCTCATCGCTCGGTGGATCCAGGTTCAGCCTCAGGTGCTCAATGTCAATGGGGTAGACCAATCTGACGCGAGGATGGGCCACGCCAGGGGCCATCTGATGGTTGCCATTTGGTGTGCTCCCATAGAGCGGTGTTCCTCCATTGCTGTAGCTCGCGTTCGTGTAGTTCCCGTCATTGCTTTGGCTGGGACGACCACTGCCGATGGGCCCATAGCGACATTGGTCCGCCTGGTTGCGCGGACTGTAGGGACCTTGGAAACGGTAGCCCCGGTACCCGCCCTCGTTGAATCGCATGGCTCCACCCGGCCTGGGCGTCTGCGAACTGTGCGTCGGCGCCATCGGATGACCCGCCTGCATTCCCGGGTGCGGATGCGGATGCGGATGCGGATACGGTTGGGGAGGGGGATGCGGTTGTTGATGCGGATGTAGTTGGGGATGCAGTTGCGGATGCAGTGGGGGATGCGGTTGGGGGTGCATTTGGGGATGGGGATGGGGATGCGGTAGCGGATGGTGATGCGGTGGTGGCTGGTGATGCGGATGGAGATGCGGCGGCGGCGTCGGCGGCGGTGGTGGATGCGGATGGGGATGGGGATGCGGCGGCGGCGGTGGTGGCGGTGGATGGTGATGCGGATGCGGATGGTGATGTGGGAAGGCGGCCTGCGGATGAGGCGGCCGGGCCATGCGATGCGACGCAGGATGTGGCGAATGGCCATGACTAGGATGCATGGCCATTGCTAGCGAGGTGCAGAAGGTGCGGATTAGGTCAGCAGCCAGGGAGTCGTGGGCCAAATCAGACTTACGCATGGGCCTGCCCCAGAAGCCAAATGGCTGTTGCGGTGGTGGTCCACTCTGCGAGGCTCCTGGCGAGGATACTGTCGGATACGGCTGCGGTATTCGAGGTCCACTGGGTGCTCCACCGGCTGCCCTATGCATTCGAGGAGTGTTAATAGGGGATCCTGAATAAAAGGGAGGCGGCGGGCCAGGCGGAGCAGGCGGTGGCGGCGGCGGCGGCCCAGGTGCTGGCGGTGGCGTTGGCGGAGGCACTGCCGCCGACGCCAATCCTCCCTGCGTGAAGAACATGCACATGCAACGGTACTCCGTCTGAGTGGTGGCGTCCACTGACTTGGGCGCTTCCTGGGGAGATCGCTGTGGCGGAGCCGATGATACCTGGTCTATGCCTGGTCATGCACGACACTTACCTGGATGCGGGCCAGGTCCTCCGGCGTGAGGCTGTTCGGATGGATGTCAAAGGGCAGATTGAGGCCAGTGAGGTCCGACCAGGGACGCAACACATTCTGCAGATGGGATCACGATATTATGGAGCGTGCCATTAGATTCCCAACCTTACCGGTGGCATGAAGATACTCGGATGTAGCGGCGGCGTCTCCAAAATGGCGCTGGTGTACTCGGCCATCTGTATGGGCGTCATGTACTTGAAGGGACCCTGGAGCAGTGGCTTCAGCAGGTCATTGGCTCGTATTAGCAGATTTCTCAGCGTTGCCATGAACTCATCCCGTTGCACTCCCATCTCGTCCAGCTGCGCGGCAAAGGACTCGAAGGACGGGAACTCGGGGGATGTTCGGGCTTCCGTTGGCACTTCGAGAAAATGGCGAATGTTGTTGGTCATGGCTATCGACGCTCGTCCAGTTGTCTCCAGCGAGGTTGTTTCATCTGCTGGTCTGGTTCGCGGACTGCCATAGATGTAGGAGCCCCAGGAATCAGTTGCCTCCGATGGTGGGTCGTCCGCCTCTCGGCGACCAGAGACTACTCTGCTCTGACGTCCCTCGCAGTTCATGCCCAAGCCAAAGCTGTAGTAGATGCGCTCGCCGCTGGCAGGATCGACAAAGTGGTAGCTCCGAGGAATATCGCTCCCTGGTCCGATGTATGGCCCCGTTCCGTTCGCGAGGCCAAACTCGAAGGAGTTCCTCGGCGCCGAAGTGCGTGGTGACCTGCGGGGGGGCTCCTCGTCGTTTGACAGTATATGGAATAACCTGGTGCCCATGGGATAAAACACGGGGGCGTCAGGGGACATCTTGACTCCGGTGGAGACGTCCGGCGGCGTCTGCAGTGGGTTGTGGGCCTGGGTGGCCGGACTGCCGCTTGGTGTCTGCGATCGTGTTGGGGTATCTTTCGGAGAACTCGTTGGGTCTGCTGGGGGATCTGATGCAGGGTCTGGTGGGAGATCTGGTGGGAGATCTGGTGGAAGATCTGGTGGGAGATCTGGTGGGAGGTCTGGTGGGAGATCTGGTGGGAGATCTGCTAGGGGGTCTGATGGCGGATCCACTGGAGGAACTGCTGGTGGACCCGCTGGGAGATCTGCTGGAGGTTCCGTTGCAGGATATGCTGGTAGTGGAGCTGGTTGCTCAATTAAAGCTACTGGCTTGGCTTGTGGTTCTGGGCCTGCTCCTACCACTGGTTCCACCTCTGCCTCTGCACTCCTCCGTTCGATGGGCGGAAAACCATTGTCGATAAAGGCCAGGGCAGTGGAAGCCAAGGATATGCTGGATGTGTTGGCGCATAGCTCCTCGCCAGGCACCGCCGGGTCCGACATGCCCAACGCAGAGCTGAGTTTCGTGCAGTCCTGGATAAATGAGAGGTCATGTTTCATCGCTCGTGTGATTTAATAAGGACACGCTTACTCTATGGGCTGGGTAAGGGATACATGGGTGATCGAGTTTCCTGCCGGCAGACGCGTAAGCTTTCCGTTGAAGGACGTGCTTGGCATGGACAACCAGCGGGGGCTTCCTCGCAAGACAAAGCCTCTAAAGCGCCCGCAACTCCTTGAGCCCCCTCTGCTCCTCCTCCTCCTCCTTCTGCTCCGCTCCTCCGCCTTCTCGGGGATCCTGTCTGCTGTTGCTGTGAAAACATTTTTGCAATTATTTCAAATATTTTTCAACACGGCTTTGAAACGGCGACGTGCCGACGAGCTGGCGTCCAGGACGAAACCCTTTTGTTCTCGCATCTTGCGCCAAAATATTTTTCCACATTTTATTTGGCGCATATTTTTTACTGCCTCGCCTTGGCGCGAAATTAGCGTGAAGCAAGGGGCACGCAACACGCAGCACGGAGCACGGAGCACGGTGCACGGAGTAAGCGAAAAGGATGGCAAAGATAAACTTTAAATAAAACATGGCACACAAAGGGCGGCGGGGAGGGGTTGCCAGGATATTTGGCAGGGCAAAACTCCCGAAGGAGAGACGTCGAACGGCGCGGCGCGGCGCAGACCGCAATTCAAATAAAATCCTTTAGGGCTTTTGACTTTTAACTCATCCGTTTAACGAGCGCTCATGTTCGTGAGGCAGCAAAATATGCAATCCCGTCCGGGGTGGGGATTTCCCGGCCAGGACAACAGCACCCTTGACACCTACACACACACACACACATGCCAAGACAGAGCGCCCGACACGGCCCACGTCCTTCGTCCTGCGTTGACTCCTTGCCATGCAATTGCAAAACGAGAGCGAAACAAAACGCGAAACAAGCAAATCCAACTAAGAGCAGGAGGTATGCGACCATTGCATACCCTGCAAGTGCTGCTACAAGCTTTGATTGAGCCAATTTACTGAAATACCATGCAATTACTATTAGCGAATAAATCATCCGTGTAAGACGAACTATTCTCAACTAAAATAGTGCATAGCAAATGGAATGTTCCCAAGCTGACACGAGGATGATCTTTTCAAAATTGCAGGGTAAGCAAGCGGTCGAAGTGGCCGACGATTTGGTGGCGAAAGCGATTTAAAATTTTTATGAGCCCTTCGGCCAGACGTATCTGAATCTACGCTGTTGTGATTGCCTTTGTCACTATTCCCGTATTGCTACGGAGCACAATAAGCCAAATCGATTGATGGCAATTTCTGAATTGAACAATTGCCACTCGATGTGGCATGTGGGCGTGGGGCATTTTTGAGGGCGCAAATCCCCGTGCTCGACTGAAGGACGCTTTCAGCGAAAGGATGCGCCAGGCGTCGAAAGCCTCACTTAGCTATGCAATCAGCCTGTTGTCCCGCGCCTTCGCCTTCGCCTTCGCCGCCGCATCCAAATCCACCAGCGGAAGGTGGATTCGCGACATTTATTAACTGGCAAATACACTTGTCACGGCCACGCCCCCCTTCGAGCATGCCTCGTTTAATAAATTGAGCGTTTTACGCAATTTATGCGGCTGATTTGACATTAATGTGGCCCAAACAGACTCGCCCACACATGCATAAATAACTGCGCACACATGTATGTTTATTTACATGTTGCCACCACCCCACTGCCACCCAACCACGTACCACACCACAACCCCCTCCCCCAACCCCCGCTGGCCGCGTCTTCATCTTCTTTTCGGCTCCTTTTTATTTATGACAACATCTGTGCCGGTTACTTTAACTTGCCCCATTCGCGAGGGCGTTAACGTGCATGCCACACACACGTCATTAATCATTTTAACAGCCCGCAACTCCTTTAGCTTCCACGTGTGCTCGTCCTGCTCGTCCTGGTCGTCCTGCTCGTCGCCTCCGCCCGTGTGTGTCTAGTTTCCGTTCCGCAAACTTGGGCCATTAAAAGCCTGAGCCACTAAGCCGGGCTTCCATTAACCGGAGGAACGTAACTCACGGCTAGGACTCCGTGTTGTGTACTTTTTCCCGCACTGCGATGCAGTGGCTCTCTTTGGGCAAACGGAATTGCATTATGCCAGCGAAAAGTTGGATTACCGGTGGCTTGGTATCAACAGATGGACGATTCTAACTGCCCATAGAAATATCTATGTGTGGTATATATTTTGAATCTTGCAGAGGCGGCAACCAATTGGAATTCATTCCATTCCTTTGATTGAAAAATACGTTTTTATGAAGGTTCATAGCGTTTCGCACAGAATATGTAACTAATTATGTATCCGAGAAGTCGGCGGCAAATGCTGCTCCCCCTCCAAAATCTAAGCCGAGTATTTTGTCAAAGCGCGGTTGTCCCGGAATGCGACCCAACCCCCCAGTTGCCAGTTGCCAGTTGGCAGCTCCTGGTAGTTAGTTTGGTAACGCCTCCCCAGCTGGGCCACAACAATTCCCAGTTGCCAGTCAAAGTCAAAGTGAAAGTGGAAGTGGAAGTGGAAGTGGAAGTCGAAGAGTTGAAAACCCTCAGACGCAGCAATAATTCACGTGTGCCAGCTAATAAATTAGGGGGAATGCGCATCAAAGGATAACTTTTGCGCTCCACTTAAGGCCAGGACGAGCGCCCACACCATCCGGAAAGCATTAACCTGGCCAAATAATCAGCTGTAAATATTTTATACAACGTGCAACTTTGACAAACGAAATTCCCGGCGGCGGGGCGAAACTATGTGTGGCATGCCCCAGTTGCGTGCCACGGTAATCCGGGCATAGCTGCTCATGGATACGGGCTCCACTGGCCAGCCCATCGAGATGACCAGCATGGCGATGGGGCGGCTTACGATAAGAAAGCAACAAATAGAAATCAACATCAATGGCTAATCAAAATAAATGCCACAAGGAATGGGGCCGCAAGAAGTGCTTGTGACAAATGTCGAGCTTAGCAGGCAGTGGGGAGAATCCTCGATGGGGGATTGGTAACTGGGAACTGGGAACTGGGGATTCATCTGGAGGCAACTTTCACAAATCCCTGCTCGCTTTGGCCGAGGCCATAAATTCATTTTGCCTCGCTGCACATGCAAATGTCCTGTCCAACTGTCCTAATGAGTGGCGTGGTGTGGGCGCCCGGCAAAAACAGCACACAATGAGTCCTTAAAGATTAATTAATCTTTTGGTGCCACATGCGGCTGCCGTCGAGGATAATGCGTGTGCCAGTGTGCGTGTGTGTGTGTGTCGGCTGACCATTGTCCTGCGTCCTTTCTGGTTACGGTTTTAAGCTAATGACACAAAACGCCAAAAAGGATGCGAACCGCAACCCCGAAGGGGTCAGAACAGGATCGGTCAGGGGATGTGGGTGTGGGCTCCTGGTCGAGCTTATCTTTTGCTTTTGAAGAAATAATTAATGACCTCGTTTTTGCCACTGTGCCACACGGACCAGACACCACGGACAAGGGAGCCAGGCCATTAAAAATCGTTTATTTCGATTTGATTTAATCCAAAATAGATTGCCTGTCCTGAGGACCCAGTGCACACAGCACCCGTGCCCAGTGCCCTGCTCCCCGGACAAACGAACGATGCGGCCAATTTATGCACTCAATTTGCAGTGGGCCGGGTGGAGATGGGGAGTCAGCCGCATAGCTGTGCGTTTATAAATTTCATTGGTTAATCCTTATTTTCGCATTAAGCGCGAGCACCACCGCAACCGCTATGCAAATGTTGCAATGTCCTGTTGCACCAACGCTCCTGCCCCTGCCCCTGCCTCTGCCCCTTTGGCAATTAAACTAATCGCACGCAGGGCTTAAAACGCGATTTGTGGCGTCGATTGCCAATTGCGGCACGGCCCTTTGGCCTTTTAGCGATTTTGCGATTTGCCACAAAATTTATTTAACCGACAGGCGGCTGCACAGCCCGGAAACCCGATCCCGATCCCGATCCCAATCCAAATCCCCGCTAGATGCCATTCGGGGCAGCGGCCCTTTTTAGCGGTTTCTGCGGCACGGCGCCTAATGCAAATGTTTAGTTACGGTTACGGACGGACAAGCGGACAAACGGACAAATGGACATACGGACAAACGGACAGCCGAAAAGAACATCACAAATGTGGGGTATAACATGGGAAATGAGAGGATATGGGTAGCAACTGAAATAGTGTGTGTTTGGAGCACTCACCTGACTGTTCAACCAAATGTGGAGTCTCAACGAAGCACTAACAAAATCGTAGACCCCAAAAAATGTTACTTTTTTTTCCTTGATTTTTTTACACAAAATATTTTCGATGTGAGCTCTAGCCCACTTACAAAAAGACTGCGTAGCCGAAAGGGTACTGGCCTAGGAACACCTTTTCAAAGCCAACCTGGATCCCCAAATCCATGCGAGACAGCAAAACAATCTAGTCCCCATTGGGAGCAGCCCAAACGATAAGCTACTTGGTTAGTTTGAATGCCATGTGCTGCTAAGTAACGAGTGTCCAAATCCCGCGATGGTCTTTAGCGGCTCGAAGGGAATCCGTCAAGAGCGCGTCAATTTAATTGCGCGCGTGGTCCTGAATGCGGATGATGGGGCAGGGGTTCAGCCAGGACTTGCCACGTGACGCAATATCGCCCGGAGACACTAGGATCATCGGTTGCAGCTTGTGGCTAATAGCGGGCAAGGAATAGGTACAGCCGATTTGATTTCTCGCAAATTTCATTAAGCTAGATAAATGGCCGGCGATTAACAAGCTGTCTGTTGGCCAAAGTCCTTGCCCCTCGTCCTTTGGTACTTATGCAAAAATTCGTTATGGCTGCCAGAGGAGCGGAAGCGGAAATCACACGCACTTTGGTTTAAATACCCTAACACGGGGCGGCTTGAAAACTGCAGACATCCGTGCAATTGTTATAAGAACGGAATGTAATTGAGTATTTATTTTTTACATAAGTGCACTTTCTGGATTTCGCTCACATTTTTATATACTTTGAAGTAAAACTTTTTATACTTATACTTATAATAATTTATATAATTATATTTTTTCCAAAGCTGA